CCCGCCGCGGCCAGCCCCAGTGGCATCCGGCGGGCTGCAGAGCCGGCACCGCATCCCCGCCTGCGGGACACATCACAGTCTGAGCCCACAGCAGAGAGACGTGAGGGCCAACCGTGGGCGAGCTCAGCTCCTGGGGCAGGGGTGCCAGCCCCCCGTTCCCCTCCAGTCCAGGGCATGCAGCCCCTCCAAGCCCTGGGCTTGTGCTCAGTCTCTGGCTGCCAAGAGCACCCTGCCTGCGAGGGCCGGGGCAGCCCGAGGGCTTTGGCTGCTCAGCTCATCTTCGGGCCCTCTGGCCCTGTAATACTGACAAATCCTTTCCTCGCCCAGACGTGTGCAGGGAAGGCCGCCCCAGGGCACACGTGAGGACCACAGGGGTCCCAAGCATCCCAGCTCTGTCCCCAGCGGATGCAGCCTTGGTCCATCCGGGCACAGGGAGGTGGCTCACAGCCCCTGCGGCACCAGGAGGGGCAGGAGGAGGCTGATGAAGGTGAAGGGGCTGCTGCCCCTCATTGCCGAGTTCTGCCCCACACTCCTCAGCACGTGTGCGGCTGCATCATCTGAGGGGAGAGGGGAGCGGTGAGTGTCCCCAAGGGAGGTTACCATGCCCCAAGCCAGCACCGCATCAGCCCACGCAGGGGCTGCCACCCGCCCTGCTGCCCAATTCCCCCCGGGAGAGCAGCTGGGCTCAGCCCAGCTCTCCTGCCAGCCCCACGGCCACCCAGACCCATCTGCACACTTGCAGCCACCTTCCTACCTGCCTGGATCCTCCCCTTCTGGGTAGAGGCAGGGACAGGCGGTGCCTGAGCTGCAAAGCAAACACAGGGTCAGACCGGTGAAGGGCAGCTCACATCCCCGTGATCCAAGTTCCCCAAGATCCCACCTCCCCAGGACCCCGCAACCCCAGCGGGGGTCTCACACCTCAGGGGTCTCACATCTCTTGTGATCCCCATGCCCTGAGGTCCCACATCCCTGTATCCCTCAGATCCCACATTCCCAGGACCGCATGTCCCCAGGGACACTCCACCCCCCTGGGGGTCCTGGGGTGCAGCCAGGCTGTCTCCCCCCCCAGGACCCCGCAACCCCAGCGGGAGTCTCACACCTCAGGGGTCTCACATCTCTTGTGATCCCCATGCCCTGAGGTCCCACATCCCTGTATCCCTCAGATCCCACATTCCCAGGACCGCATGTCCCCAGGGACACTCCACCCCCCTGGGGGTCCTGGGGTGCAGCCAGGCTGTCTCCCCTGACCAGCCCCAGGGGGCTCCAGTCACACCTCAGCCCCCCCCCC